TCATCACTGATACCGGAAATGTGGAAAATACTACCAATCAAATCCAGCGATAGAAAGTAATGGAATTATATAAACGAAGTTAGAAAGTTGTGTGAGTAGTGTCTTGGTATGATTATGAGCAGCAGTAAATTGTGTTCGAAACATGGTCTTCAGTAAATATCACTGTATAACACTGTGAGGCTTTATCAAAACAAATTTGACCCGTGATGGAATTATACTCTATCACAGCGCACAAGTTTTATTCTTATATCATCATTAAAATTTCAATTCCTAACTGAAATTTTAAGTATTTTTATGCTGTCAGCTTTCAAAAGTGACATGAAGGGTCTCATTTCTCATCCAGTCTACGAGTGCCTCAGTATAATCCAAATTTGAGACTTTGTTTATTTATGTTAGTAGGTTTGGTACACTAGATGGATTTCGCGTTTATGGCCTCTCTGAGCTGATATTATGCATCTACTGTGATTTCTTGGTCGTTGCAGTTTCCACTGAACTGCCTACATCTGGTGACATCACTGTATAAGTGTGAAGTCATAGCACGGGTATTTGGAAATTTTGGAGGTCATCTTCAGAAAATGTGATTTCATCTCTGGTTGCTGACTTCGGTAGCTTGGATATGTTCTACAAATGTCATTCTAGTGGTTGTTATTCCTGCGACTAGTTGACAACAGTGAAAGGGTGACCAGCCTAGGACTTGACGATTTTGGATGAAGGACAGTTGTGTTAGATTAGCATCGGTTGTTGTACTACGACTCCTTGAGTGTTGTCTGAGAGACCAAACAACTGCCTATATCAAGACTGGATGAAAACGGAAATCAAATTGATGACAAAATGCAGCATTTTCTTCTCTTTCTGAGAATAATGCAAAGTAACAGCTGCTCTTTTGAATGTTCGTGTTTTCTTCTTGTCCTTTATTCATTAGTCATTTTTCTCTTCTCATTTTACTGTTTCCCTCATTTCGCGACACGTCCCTCGGTGCTTTAGTTGTACCATGTGCGTGCTTCAAAATTAAATAAACTTCCATGTACGTTGAAATAAAGCGTCGTAATCAGTCAGGTTACAGTGACTGAGTTAGATTCTGAAATCAACAGTTTATCTTCAATCTACGCCTTGTTGACTGTTAATCTCACAGTGAATTTCATCAATTTCTAGTAAGATACTGTGATCAATAAGGTTCATCAGTGTGTGTGTATAAACAGTTAATCTTCAACAAATATTACATGAAGGTTACATTGTAGAAAATAACGAAAAAAATCTTGAATTATTAGCTGAATAGCAGGTTTCTGACCTGGATTACTGACTTGACGTGAAGGGAACACTGATGAACAGATCCAGTGTTTCAGTAATTCTCTCAGATGACATCGGTTTCCAATCGAATCAGTTCTTAAATAATTGGAATCTCCATAAACCCTGCAGTTTAACTTCAAGTTTATTACATATCACCCCTGGAATCCAACGATCATTCACAACTAGGATGTATCAATCACACGGGAGGCTCAAGTTTGATTCCCAGATGTTAAACTGTCAAATCTCGCTTGTAGTATTCTTGGGAGATAGGGAAGGTTGTACGTACGGTTAGCAATCCGAACCTCTAAAAAATTCCACACCTGCTGAAATCATAACAGCTTTTAGCCATCTTTTCCACTCAGAATACAAGGGATGAATAGAAAGGATACTGAGTCGGTGGCACAGCGGTAGAATGCTCGTCAACCACACATATGGTCCGGGATTCGAGCCTCGGCCACTGACGCACTCCTTTACCCCACTAAGCCAGTAATAAGACTGATAAAGAATGAAGGTGGGGCATGAGGCTGGCTAGCAACCCCACCTACTAAAAAATAAACACCCCTGCTACCGAAAATTCAAACATCTAGCTTGAAGCCCTGTGTTCCACTGGGAGCGTATAGGAATAAAAAACAACAGAAAAACCCAGGGGCAGACAGAATGAGAAGGAGAGAATGAAAGCAACTGGCTTCGTTTCGCCACTTGATTGATGTCTTTCCTTGTTTAATGGTTGACTTCATTCATTCAACCTTAATTTAACCATTTTAGATTTCAAATGTATAAATATGTGATTATATGATCTTTTCAGGTTTTTTACAAGACCCTAGAATATTTGTTTTTTCCTAGTCACGTATCCGTTATATTGTTTTTATAAACAGTGATTATCCCTTGTTTGTTTGTTTTTTTGATAAACAGCCTTTTTGTTTTTCCATTTGAGAATTTGAATATCATTAGAAATCGATTTTCAATTTTACTTTTTAGGATTATTTATCAACGATGTAAAATCCTGTGGAAACGTATAAATATGCAGTTTTGACAGTTGAATCTAGGGTCAAATTATTTCCTGTCGGTTCATGAAATTGAAAACTGCAGTCAGAAATTTAAGTGATCATAGCATTCATTGTTGTTCACAAGAGCTCAGTGCTCAAACCTTTCCTAACATGTGAAAAAATCTGATAGGAAGTTTTCTTTAAATTATATTGACCAAGAGTTTCTCTGGTTCAAAAATGCCATCAGCAGACACAGAACTGACAGTAAACACCAGATGTCTAAGAAAAAAATATTCTTTAAGGCCATAAAGTTACTGAAGGCTGACCGGGATCGCGTCCCAGTGGCTTAATGGTATACGAGCTCGCCTGCGTTGTAACCAGAAGGTCCTGGTTTCGAATAAATGTGGGTGCGTACTGATGAAGAGTCCCAAATTAGGACGAAACAGTTGTCCAGTACTCCAAAGTTTTCCAATGGTTCTCTAACTAATGTCAGCTCATGATGAAGTCCTATAACCAATCAAACAAATCCCTACAAACCAACACTTGAAAATTAAAAATTAGTTTACAAATACCACATTCGATTTAAGATGTTAGCAATTGACCCAAGTGGCTGGCCAGAGATCGATTGCTTCGAACTGATTCGTCTCTCTGACCTCAGTCGAACTGACTACTTTTGCTGATCACTTCGGCCCTGAAACGAGCGGAATGACTGTCTGATGTTTACATCATCTGGATCTGGCTAGCTAGCAATACTGTTGCTCCATGTCAGTGGTATACGATTACTCATTTTAGTCAGTCAGTAGATGGCATAACCGTCAATACAATTTGGTTGTTTATCAGTCTCTTGCGCCAACGAACTTCCCAGCCTAGTAGATGTGTAAACCTACCACCATGACGAGACGATACCACTGACAGGTTAAGCAGGAAAAACAGAAAACAGACAGTTGATAAGAGAACTTTCACTGTCTCGAATCTACAGCGAAAAAACTTACTCACCGCCGCATATATGTACGTTTTAAATGATCTTGAAACACACCAATTTCACATTGATAAGTTAGAAAAGTTAACAATCAATAAATTGGGTCCAGCCGTCATAAGGAGGAAATACAAACATTGCATTAGTGCGAATAAAGGTAGTAGTTTAAGCTTTTAGAAGACATTGGCGTATTATATAACAGTAGAATATAGCTTTAAGCATTAATCCTCAACTGTTCATTTAATTTTGAATATAAACAAATTTCATACATAAGATTAGTTAGAAGTATTAAGACAACAAACCATATTAGATGGTTGGAGGCAATCGACCACAGGAAGCCTTGATCAGACCTAGGTTTCGTACTAGTTGGCACTCACTAGTCAGTCAGCAAGGCGTATCTGCAACTGCCTTGAAGGAACTCATGTCCCTTCTGAGATTCGAACCCGCATCACCCAGTGCTGCAGTCAAAGACGTTTCCACCGAGCTATCTGGGCTCGCAATTGACCTCCTGTAGGACTGTGTGGATACTGTGATTGGACACTAGTAACTCGATCCCAGATAGCTTAATGGGTAACGTCTCTGACTGCACCACTGGGTGACACGGGTTCGAATCTCAGAATTCGCAATAGTTCCTTCAAGGTTGCAGATATGCCTTGCTGACTGACTGGTGAGTGCCAACTGGCACGAAATCTAGGTCTCGTCAAGGCTTCCTGTGGTCGATTGCCTCCAACTATCTAATATCATCAAATCAATGTGCACCATGATGGCGAGCTACCTAGAATGGTGACGGCATTGCAAAACCTGACTGACAGAATGCAGTCTGCACCAAAGAAAGGACTAGCTAGACATATCACACTACTTACTAGTGTCCAATCAAAAAACGACAGACCACATTCAACAGAATAATTATGAAACTTATTTTCTTTCATTCCTTGTTTCCTGAGCAGAACATAAGGCTTCAAGCTTCTGAAGTTTCAGTACCGAAGTGTTGTTTTTACGGAATGGCGTTTCTAGCCTCACGCTTTCCATCGTTTCCGGGATTATTGAGGTTTGATAAACTTGGCAAAGTATAAGCATTAGTCAATCAAGATTCAAAGGGTACATTCTTGGCTGGTAAGCATTCTAACAGTGTGTCACTGACGCACAGGGATAATCAATGACATTATCTTATCAGTCACTGCACTTCTCTTGATAATTCTGCTTGCAATGAAGCCTTTTTTGTAATTAATTTTATCGCAACTTTATCATTTCAAGGAATCGAGTAAATATCACATAAGCCATAGACTTAATTTAAGTGTCTATATGTTATATGAAATGAAAACAAACATTGTTACTAGAAAAATAATATTCCGGAACAATTAGCACTGGTGGGCATTTGAAATAATGAAGATGAAGTTTTGGTGTTTTTTATTCTCAAAATCGAACATTTTAATTCGGAACCGTATATCTGAGGTTCAGGGGTAGAATGTTAGCCATCAACATACTTTTTCCGGGCTTCATTGCCTCGTAAACCGGTAGTTAACCAGCAAAAGAAGGAAGGCTGGTCATGAGACTATCAACCTTACCACTTAAAAATGTAGACAACACCACCACTAATGCAACTTCCAAGCTCAAATTATGCTGAAGCTCCATGTTCATTTCGCAACCCAAAGAAATGCAAAAGAACACAATATTCATCATACAGAACACAACAGTACAGTAAACAATCAGCAGTGGCAGTAAGCTGATCTAATCCACACAAAACGTCTTACCTGTGATAGCAATTTTAGCTGACCATTGACTGGCACCAGCTACAATACTTTTCTGAGCAAATTCTAATGCATTCAAGTGTACTTTAGAATTGACATCAATTTGAAAAACACTAGCTAAAAATTCAAATATATCTGATCGTTCTGTTATACGGCGTTGAATCAAGGCACGAATTGCTTCCATAGCCGCTTGAGCTTTATCTACAGCACCATGACGAAGAGATTTTTCAGCAGCTCCTGGTAATCAGAAAAAGATCCCGTTTGGGTGTAAAAAAAATGTAATAAAAGTTGAATTCAATAAAAGTGCTTAGTTTTAAGGTAGATATGTTCAAGTTTTAATAGGAAGTCTTACATTTGTAAAGTTTATCCAATCACGACATGAAATGATGGTTAAATTAACTTTCTATCAACAAAATATCTCAACTCAAACTTATTAATAATAAATTTTTATATAAGAAACCTAATTGTCATGAATTCAGTTTCAGATTGCTTCAAGGGTGCTCACTAATCAAATTTCGGAAAAGAGAAGGAAACCACTAGTTGATGTCAATTTTTTTCAAACTTTACTTGTCAAGATGACGTTAGATGTTGACATAAGATACCTCGAAATGCCATGGTAACGCAGATTATTATGAAAAGTTTCAGCCTGAACAGATATTACTCTTTATTATTATCATTATTGTTTCCTTTAATTCCTAGAGGAACATAGGGCTTCAGTCACACGTCTCCATTGGGTTCTGTCCTCTGCCAACGTTTTCATCTGGTTCCACGTCTGATAACATGCTTACATCTCCTCTTCGCATCACCTCCTCCATGTCAACTTCGCATTGACGACCAACTCGCCACTTCCCATTCGGGTTCCACTCGAACAGTGACATGATGTGTGATGTCACTCTCTTGATGGTTTTCACAGAGTATGGCCAATCCACCTCCATTTTTTCCTGCCTACTTGTTGGTTCCTGCTGGGTTGGTTCGATCATTGCCAGAGATCCCTGTTGCCGGTCTTTTCTGGCCAGCCATCTGATCTTCAGTAGTAGTGAGTGAAGAGAGCTGTTAATGAAAGTCTGTAGTTTATTCTAAATGCCCTTCGTGAGGCGGCGCCAAGTCTCCGGATCCGTATAGTAGTACTGACTGACTTCACATTGGAGTCAAAAATCCGGATCGTATTTTTGATGCTGAGTGCAGTTGACCTCCACACAGACTTGAGAGTAATGAAAGCTTGTCTTGCTTTACCGATTCTTGCTTTGATATCCTCGTCAGTTCCGTCCACCTGTAGTTGAAACGATGCTTCCCAGGTAGGTCGGTAGGTAGAGGAGGTTGCTTCTTTCAGATTTCTCCCGTTTATGCTGATTGTTGTCTGTTGTTGTTGTTGCTGTTGCTGTTGGTCAGGAATCTTCATCACCTCTGTTTTCTCTATGTTCACCTGAAGTCCTATCTTTGATGCTTCTTCTGAGAACTTGTTGCTTTTCGCTTGCATATCTTCCAGTTTGTGGGAAATAAGACATATATCGCATCGGCGAAATCCAGATCCAGATCACCCAAAGTGTTTTTGTGTGAGTCCATTTTATGCCTGTTTCCTCGCTGCCCACTGTCTGTATGTTACATTATCCAGTCTACCGCAATCAGGAAAATCATTGGAGATAGTAGGCAGCCAGGCAGCCTTGTCTTACTCCCGTCTTCACTTCGAAGGGTTCCGTGAGTATTTCCTTGTGGATTACTTAGCATGCAGTATCGGCATACAACTGTTGGATGAGATATATAATTGTCGTCCACATCCAGTAGTAGCTAAGTAGTTTCCAAATCAACTGTCGATCGACGCTGTTGAAGGCCTTTTCAAAGTCGATGAAATTACAATAGAGAGCTCTGTTGAATGAAGATCCGCAGTGCTGCAATTTGATCAATGCACGACTTGTTTCTCCTGAATCCAGCCTGTTCCGGTCAAAGTTTTTCATCCAGGGCGTGCTTGGTTCTCTCCAGGATGATGCGGCTTAGTATTTTGCTTGGGATGGACAGGAGCATAATGCCGTGCCAGTTCTTGCATTGACTTTCTCCCAATCTGCAGTTACCTTGCCCTCTTTCCACACATTCTCCAGTTATGGTATCATCAAGTCCGCTATTGTCTCTGGGTCCATTTTCAATGCTTCTGCTGGGATTCCATCTGGTCCTGCTGCTTTTCCAGTTTTTAGCATCTTGATTGCCTTCAGGACTTCTGTTCTCGTCGGGTAGGGTGGTTGATGTCCACTGTTAGTTCTGCTTCTGCTGTTGGTATTATTGGGCGCATTGTAGGTAGCGGTCTATTCAGTTTAGAGTAATTCTGTAGTATGTATGCACGCCTAAAGTGATGCAAAATAGGTTTCAAGGAAACTTTACATCTCACAACAAACATTCCTGATTAAATACGAATAAAATTGATTATTGGATTTCAGTGACTACCAAGTGTCTATGAAATGTTGGTTAAAATTATTGGAACGAACTAGATTTTGGAAAATCATGTGCATAAATATTAGACTAAATAACATTTTACATTGTTTTAGTCACTGATAACATTCAATGGTGGCACAGTTTTTTTATTCCTTTATGTTCCCAGTGGAACATAGGGCTTCAAGCTAGAGGCTTGAAGTTTTTGTAGCAGTGGTGATTATTTTTACAGGATGGGGTTGCTAGCCAGCTTCATGGCCGAATTTCCCTCTTTATTTGGCATAGTGAGGCAAAGGAGTGCGTCAGCCGGGGATCGAAACCCCAAACCACCTGCATGTTTGGCGAGCACTCTACCACTGTGCCAGCGACGCACCGGTGGCACAGGAGCATTTCCCTCATTGAATGAAGTCAAGACGAAATATGGATTCATAAAGTATTACACACTCACTGAAGCGTTACAAATGCGAGAGGTAAATGGCTAAGATCGGATCGGATAGATAGACAAATTAATGAAAGATAATTTGCCAAAATGATTTACTTTTCTTCCTCAAGAAATGACAGAATAAAAGAAGAAATTTTAAATATTCTAATTCTTCTATCTCGTTATGAGAGAGAAATTGTTTATAGTGGTTTCTGTTGCGATTGAAGCAGTCAGTGGGTCACTTTCAGTGTTTCAATTAACCCAGAATTGCGTGGAGGATTTCATCATGAGCTGACATCAGTTAGAGAACCACTGGAAAACCTGGGAGTACTGGACAGCTGTTTCGTCCTAGTTTGGGACTCATCAGCAGTACGCACCCACCGGGATTCGAAATGTCGCGAAATGGTCGCGCTATGTCGTGAATTGGCAGAAGTTAGAATTCAAGGACCATTGGATGGGGTCCCAGTGGCTCAATGGTCTACGAGCTCGCCTTGTAACCAGAAGGTCCTGGGTTCGAATCCCGGTGGGTGCGTACTGCTGATGAGTCCCAAACTAGGACGAAACAGCTGTCCAGTACTCCCAGCTGGTTTTCCAGTGGTTCTCTAACTGATGTCAGCTCATGATGAAATCCTCCACGCAATCAAACAAAATCCCTACGAAACCAATACTTGAAAATTAACCCAGAATTAATGAAATGAATCTCTAAGTAATTTGATGAAATTTTAAAATTCCTGACACTGGTCAGTAATGTACAGTGGATAATACGTATCCCATGAACTTCATGAAGTAAATCTTATGGCCTGCTGATGAAGCGGTAACTATTCAAGTTACTAGAGAACGAAAAAACATTTCAGATGATATGAGTTTAGTGAAATCCGCCATTTGTAAATTAATTAATTAGCAATTCGCAATCTACACCACAGTTCGAGGAGGTGAAATCCCACCACAGATTCCCTTGTAAGCCAAAATTATCCAGATCACCACAACACATGTGATCTGCTTAAAAGCATAAACGCTAATTGAGAAGGCAAGCATAAATGCCTCAGTCCATCTATAACTAACTGATTGATTGATATAGATGAGTTGTATGCAACTGACATGAAGCAGCGGTACTGCTAGCTAGCCATATTCAGATGAAGTAAACACCGGACAGCCGTTTTGCTCCGAACGAGTTCAATTCCTTAAGAAAAGGAAAAAGTGTTTTGACGAATACCACAACATTATTATTAAAACTCATTAGTAAATGTCATTTCAAATGTCGATGGAACTGATATCAGTGGAGAAACTCGAACTTCCGATTGGAAATGCCATCACTCATCTGTATGGGTTGTGACTACCCTCATGTAGAACTGTATTCTATGCATAAAATACAACTGAAGGATAATGGTTTCGTAATATGAGTCTACTCTGTTTGTAACCTTTAATCAAGCTACTGGTGAGAGGTGTGACATCTTTGGCAAAATCACGTGATCATATGTATCCCAAATACATTAAAACTTTTTTTTATGCTATTTGTATACATACTAAAATTGTTTTCAAAATATTTGTGAAATTATTTAAATTGTTCACTTCCTGTTATTCTTCTGTAATATAAAGAAGAAATTTGTATTGGTTTTTTCAAGTATTGGTTTTGTAGGGATTTTTGTTTGATTGGTTGGAGAATTTCATCATGAGCTGACATCAGTTAGAGAACCACTAGAAAAACTCCAGGGAGTGCTGGACAGCCAGCTCTTTAGTCCTAATCTCTTGGTACTCTTTAGCAGTACGCACCTACCGTCAGGGTTCAAACCCAGCGCCTTCTGGTTACAAGGCTAGCGAGCTCGTAGACCATTAAGCCACTGGGACCTGCCAGCCCAATGACCACCTCATGAATTCTAAATTCTGCCAATTCATGACATGGCGCGATCAATTCGCAATATCTTCTTCGATGAATTACTGCTTCATCTTCAACCTGCTGTACCCTACTGGTCATGGCTTCCCACTAGAACCCCAGGCTAGCTGTCTGAATAGGGCTAGCGGCTAGTGAGCATCAGGTCAGTTTTCAAGTATTGGTTTTGTAGTGATTGTGATAATTATTTTCTTCTTAGTTCCCACTCAGACACACGCGTTTTCACAATCAGTCAGCTGCGACCTTCACTATCGAGGGAAGGTAGGTACTGATGAAGGTCTGAAAGAGCAGCACAAGTGGAAGTCTTCGTGTGGGTTGTATTCTCTGAGATTATTGGTTCAAATATGAAACTTCCATTCATCCTCAGGACATCATCTTAGCCACCAGCTTTAACGTTAGTTATGTGGAGCAGCATCCATCACGGTCATTTTAAGTCATAAATCAATCAATAAAGGTATAATTAGCTCTATTCAGTCCATTTCATGCTCTTTTAAAATTGAGTTTCAATCT